TCAGCTATTAGATATAGATATATATGATTGATTCATCAAGGATAAAAAATATATTTTTGATAATATTTGATAAATATATGTTAAAGATATGTGTAGATACTTAAACTATTTATAAGTTACAGCTATTTTCAGAGAAATCTAATACGAAAAGGGCGCTGATAAATTTAAAAAAAAAAGGCATGTTTTGTTTTAAATTACCCATATATTCAATGCAACATTTTTTTAAATCATTTTCTACGTAACTTAAATAAAACTAACCAACTCAAAGAATGGGAAAATGATCTGGAAATTTAAGCCACCGTTACTACCCAACTGAAGAAAACATGTCCATGCAAAATAGTGAGAGAGTTGAAGAGATTCACCGCCTTATTGGAGCTTGACATTTTCAGATTAAGTGTCAGGGCTGAATAAATCCTCTATTCTCCTGCGATGCGAATCGGATAAATGTTAAAATATTTCTAGAGCGTGTCCGTTATTTTGATGACAGGTCGACTTCTCAACTAGATGAAGGAATAAATAAAACAAAAGAGTATAAATAAAAAAAGAGAGAAGTTGCGCTAATTTTTGTCAGAATGTTATTTTTAAAAAAAACTGAGGAAGTGTTTGTCTTTTTGAATGAATTTACTTTCTGTCATTTTTTTCAATTCCTACTATTAGTTAACTCTCTCCCTGCATATATATATATATATATATATATATATATTCATACTTTACCTTATATTCTACTTTATTACTACTTTATATACTATACTTTATATTTATTACAAATACATTTTTTAAACTTGTAGAGGATGACACTTTATAATAGTACAGTTTTTTCAAATATCTCAGTTTATTAATTAAATTTAATTAATGAATAAATAATAACAAACATAAATAATAGTCCAACAGCATATATAGAAAGGAAAACCGCTCGTTGTGTCTCTGTAGTGCGACGGATAGTGCGTTGGACTTCTAATCCAAAGGTTGTGGGTTCGAATTCCACCCGGGGTGGCCTAATTTCTGAGAATGTGATATCATTTTACTGTACTATTTTATAAGAAAAATTAAATTTAATTAATGAATAAATAAAAACAAGCAAAAACATAGTCCAATTCCATACATAGGAAGGAAATTTGAAAATCGCTTTCGCTTTCTATTTGGTCACTTATAATACTGTGATTCTGTCATATGTGCATATACATTTATATTAATTGTAACTCTCTATTCAATAAAAAGTAATTAAAACAAAAATTTTCTTTGTTGACCTAAGTAGAGATTGACTTAATCTTTTTCTATATTACTTGTTTATATTCGATATTTGGATTTGAGAACCTTCCTTGTTTGTAGGAAAACATCCAATTGTGTACTTCTGCCTCATATCAAAACCACAATTGCTGTTTCGTAATGTGTCCTGAGTTCAAGATAGGGTTTCTTTCCCGGAAAATCATAAGATTTCTGTACTTTTTCTATCTCTGGGAATTATACTTAATTCCCGGGATTTCCCGGGAATCGCATGGGGCTTCAATTATCTATGAGATAGCTATTTTTGACTTGACTGTAGATTTCAACCTAGAATATCGTTAGCTGACCCTACTGTGGCAATTTGCAATCGTTAGCCCCAAACTTTCTGGACGAAGGAATGTTTGTTACCCCAACTGTGGGGTAAGAGTTTAATATGAGAAAGAAAGATTAACGCTTATGTTGGATTGGAGAGAATTTTTCCAGTTAGGGGTGGGAAGGAGTATCAATTCCTTTATATCTGTGCATCGAGCTTCGTTATCAAGAAGTATTGGGTTTTTAAAGCAATCGTAGCCAACCAGCTCTATCTGACTGAAGTTCCAAGATCTTGATTTATGTGGATAACGTAAGTATTAATACTTAAAAAACTATTATTTTTTTTTAATCTTTTCTTTCTGATTCTTTTCTTTTATTCGGATACTTGTCTTTATTATGAGCTATTTAATTGAACCAGCAATTTGAAGAAGGGAAAGAACCCACATACTAGTTTGGGGGTGAATAGTTTTATAAGCAATCTTGCAAGTTTTATTATTTATTATTTTTCGAAACCTAACTTTCGCATAAGATTCTTATATTCATATTTATTTATATTTATGTAACAATAATATATCAATAATATATTTTTGTAACAATAATATAACAAGAAATCGTTTATACAAATAAAATATCTTAAATACAGTAATTAATATTTTTAACGTACATAACCAGCACTTAAGCAGCAAATGAGTTTTCAAGTATTTATTAATATTTATATCTTAGTAGCAACATTAGAGAAATAATTGATTCTGCTTTGACTGGTTAATTTTTAAACGCATATGAATCAGTAAAGGAACATTAGTTTTAGTAATTAATTTTTAAATGTGAATTTTTTCTTCGAGATTTTTAATTTACAAAATCTTTAAATGTAGCATTTTTCCATGCCATTACCAATTTTTGCTTTTAGTGCAAAAAGTGATAAGTTTCATTAAAAAAAAAAATACAGCTTTTAATTTGGGGAAAGATTTTTTCCTTTGTGTATATGATAAACTTAAAAATACAAAAATCGAGACAGTAACAGCATCTGTAAAAAAAAAAAGATAATGTGAGACATTTATTTATTATAAACTCTTTTGTATTCTCGAATTTTTAGTAATTTCTTTCATTACAATACTTATTTATTCTTTAGAAATACTTCTTATGTAGCATTTTCTGCTGCCGCATTGTTCGTCACAAAGCTTAGAACTAGGCTGAGTGATAAAAGTATAAATTGCTTATGTTTTCTGAAGTCATATTTTAAAAATGAATAATCAATGTATTATAAATACTATTTTGTATTTTTTAGCTTATTATATAAATAAGTATTAATTTTGGAATTTATACAGGGCATACGTTGTCAAATATAGTAAGACTCCGCTTAACGCTGTTTCATTTAGCGCTGTTTCGGTTTAACGCTCTTTTATTTGAACTGTGGGACCCCCCAAAACTGCACGCAGTGTTAAGCTTCCCGATATTCAAAGCAGTTTATCTGTGTTTCTTCTTTCTTGCGGTGTTATACGAACGTATTTTTATCGTTTCAAACATTTATTGATGTCATTGTAACAATAAATTTATATAATATAACGATTTCTATGGTGACAAATATTATGATTTTTAGCTTTTATCATGAATGATAATAAAAAACACGAAAATAAAGCAACAAGAAAAAGCATTTCATTAGAAACTAGACTGCAAGTGATTAGAAGATCAGATACTGGTGAACGTCAATCTCAAATTTGTGCTGCATTTATTTTGGCAACTTCAACAATAAGGACCCTTCTTAAGAAAAAAGAAAATATATTGTCATTGGCAATTGCAACTACGACAAGCTCTTCAACTAGAATTACCAGTTCTAGAAATAATACAATAGAGGAAATGGAAAAACGACTTTCTAAATAGATTGACAACGAACTTGAACGCAATATGCCACTTAGCCAATCTACCTTCTTGACAAAAAGGCAGAAAATTGGAAATACAGAAGAGACAATGATCTGAAATGTAAACATACTGACTTAGAATTTTATTTATTTCTATATTTGTAAGAAATAAATATTTGTTTTATTGTTAAAAACATAATTAATAAATTTAATGGTAAAATACCTAACAAAATTTTCTACCCATTTTCCCCTAACCCCATTATTTACATGATGAGATAACCTCGTTTAACACTGTTTCGTATTACGCTCAACTTTGATGGAACGAATACCCCACGTTAAGCGGGGTCTTAATGTACTCCTACAAACAATAACTCGAAACAAATAAATGTGCATGATTTCCAATCGCACAAGCCAGCTCGACCGACTGCCAACTTTTGACTGAAGGAGTAATGATGGTGTACGGTGGGTTGATTGATTGATTGAATATTAACGTCGCACTGTTCAGCTACACGAGGGCTTTTGGCGTCGAACCACGTAATTTTGAACCATGGTCAAGTGACGTGGACGACACCTGAGCTGGCACCCCCCTCTCCTAACTTCCACACCACACCAACGGGAGGACGTTTCAGCTCTCGACAGATTTAACGTGCATCGCTGCCCTACACGGCGGGTCTTTAGTGGTACTGGGCTCGAATTCGTGGCAAGGAAAGCCACGTTCCGATACCTATACCACTCGGCTACCGCAGCCGGTGTACGGTGGGAAGCCTACGCCTATATATGGACGACGGTCATCATATGCGTCCAGTTGACATATCGTCCAAAATTCTCAGTTTTTCAGAATATAAACGGCAAAAACCGTTGATATTTGAAATTATTCGAATTATTAGCTCACTGAGGCTGATCGAGAACGAGACGAGGTGTGCATTATGACCGAGGACATGGGCCCAGTTGCCCCCCCTCCGTTCGTCGTTGGAAGCCATTTTCTCACTCTATAGAACTCAAGTTTATAAATTTGAGTAATGATCAAAGAGACGCGCCAAGACTATTTACCACAACGATATATTGTAAAAGATAGAAATTTGAGTTCCATCAGATACAACATGCACAGAGGTACTTTGTAGTAAGAAAAAGTCAAATAAATGAATGAAACGTTGTAGGTTAAAAACTTCTAAGACTACTGGAATGCCACGGTCATATTAGAAAATTTAGAATATTTTCAATTTGATAATTTGTCATTAAACATTTTCTTACGGTTGACAGATATAAATATTGTAATAATACACCATAAATGAAAGACTATCTAAAAATTTCAATTTTTAACTACCGTAAAATCCGGAGTATAATGCGCACTTTTAACACAAAAAACAAGCGATATAAAAAAGTTTTTTAAAAGTCAATTCCTATATACTAGGAGAACAAAGAAAATTTTTATTTTAGCTACTTTTTATTAAATAGTTGCAATTAATATAAATATGTTTATACATAAGACAGTCACAATATTAAGTGGCAAAAAAATAAAGCGACTTTCCTTTCTACAAATGGTGTTGATCTATTAATTTTATTTACCACTATTTATTAATTCATAAATCACATTCTCAGAAATTATGCCATTGCAGGTATGATTTGAACCCACGACCTTTGAATTAGAAGTCCAACGCGCTATCCATTGCGCATCAGGGACACAGCGAACTATTTTCCTTTTTATATAGGGTGTTGGACTATTATTTTTGTGTGTTACTATTTATTCAAAATTAAGTTTAACTAATGAATTAGTATTTAAAAAAACTATGTTAACATCAAGTGTTATCCACTACAATAAAAAAATGTATTTGAACTTGAGTGGATAAGTAAAAAGTATTTTCTAAACAATTGAAGATTTGAGCAATATATATATATATGTGTAATATAAAAATAGATATATTATTTATAAGTCTTAACCTAGAACTTGGATGATGCAAGATCATGTAATATTTCGTCAGCTTTTCCCCTCCAGACACTAATCCTTCCCTATAGACTTGGTACCACCTCTGTCTAGGGGGACAGAACCAATAGAATCCTAGGGAGCCCCATAAAGCATGTCTTTTGGGGAATTTCACTCTTCGCTATCTCTTCCGATTTTCCCCCATATAAATACCTTTGTTCCCCTAAGTCGGGGTTCTTTTGCCTTGTAAAAAGTATTGTAACACGTGGCTTCAGTGCTCTTCCTATGAAGGAAACCCCGTACACTCAATAAAGATTTTAAAGTCCATAGCTGTCGTTACTGGGTAGTTAAAATGTGTCATATGTATATATATATATATTAGCACTGTAGGGTTTTAGTACTTCTTCACTTTTATTTAATATATATATATATATATATAGAGAGAGAGAGAGAGAGAGAGAATTATATTAGGTTGTCAAGTATGAAATGGAGCAAAAAATGCACATGATTGACTTCGATTTTTTTCCAATAAAAACTAAGATTTTAAGATTATCTGTTAATTTTTTTTTATCAAATTAAAATATGCGTTAAAAAGATGAAAAGATGTACCTTTCCCACGAAAAACAAATTATGCCAAAATACGGCGTCTAAGTAAGGTTATGTGCTATTGAAATAAATAACATGAACTGTTCTCTGTTTCATACTTGACAACCTAATATACAGGGAGAGTGTGAAATAATAGTATTAACTGAATAAAATTGGAAATATAATGGGAGCGCGTTATTAGCTGGGTATAAAACTGAGAGCTTTTGAAAAATGAAAAAGAGATAAGCATAGAAAAAAATTAGACTTCTGTATAAATCGAAATAATGTTTACTTTAAAGAAATGACATTTCTTATGAGCTTAAAGAGTTGTATTTCTAGAAGTATACTATTTTTTTCAAAAGCCTGTAATAATACCTCGAATAAATGACTTCAAAACATACGAGCATTATGCACGTACATTTCAAGTTTCTGCGTAAAAGATGGGGTGCACGTTATACCTGGATTTTGTGGTAATAGCATGTTCACCCTAACGAGGTCGATATATTACATGACTTTTCCTTTTTTACACATTCATATAACTAATGAAAAAAATGTTAAACTAACAATAAATATCATGAACCCTTTATCGCATATGAACTTTTTTTTTCGAGAAAAAGGCAATTTATTCAACTAAAGTGAATTCCTTTTAAAATTGTAACACATATATTTGTGAATAGGTATTTTCTTTCACGATTTTTTTTCCAAATATAATTTAACTACATTTTTTATTATTTTTCATTAATTTTTAATGCATTTAAATATATCTGGCAGTATAGCGCAAAAACATTTTTTTTTTTGTTAAATTCTTCTTGGTTTGTTTCAATTGTAATCTGTATTTGAATCACAATAGTTTTTCAGGTAAATTTGTAATCTTCAGATAAATTTTTTTGCTTCGTTTTTCTGCTTCAAGATACCTTCACTCTCCATCCGTTTTGTTTTTTCTTAAAGTCATTATTCCTTAATATATTGATAAAATTTAGAAATTAACAAAATATTTTTAGTGTTTTAGACCTTAAAAATTCATTATGAGTAATAGATTTTGCATTTGAATTATAACAAATTTATTTAAGACAATTTGAGGGCTCACAAATCATAATTTTATGGAAAAAATATTCTCTACAAATTATATGGAAACTTATTCTCATATACAGCAGTTGAATGATAATTTTCGCGGACACACGGCCGGCAATGTCCAGTTGCAAGTTAGAGTTTTAATGTCACATAGAACCAGCCTGTAGAGGGGCTGATACACGTTAAATCTGTGCAGGCTCAAAATCCTCCCGTTGGAGTGGAGAGGAGTTGCAAGCTCAGGTGTCATCCTCGTCACTTGATTACTATTGATAACTACGAGATACGTCACCAGTATAGCCCTCTAGTTCAGGGGTACTCAACCTTTTTTCTGCTGGGCCACATACTTATGTTAGGTATTTCACGCGGGCTGTATACATATGACGGCTATTTCACACGGGCCGCAACGTGAGAATTAATAGAGAAGGGGGGCAGAAAAATGATTTAAGACCAAGATAACATAGAAAATTTAAAATGTGCAAAATCAAAATATTAAAACTCCTATTTTGTTTTTTTAGTTATTAAATTTTTATTTTTGTCACTAAATTTTTCTAAATTGGAAACTTTTAAAAATCGCTCTTTCACAATTTCTGCATCAGTAAACGGTTTCGTATGATTACCCATAATAAAAGAAATTTCAGAGGGTGCATTACCACTGACAAAATACTCTTTTGCTGTTGTAAAGATTATTCAAGGAATCCTATTTGTCATCTCTTGAAAGAGATCTTCGAGGAAAAGTGTCTTTGAATATGATGCCTGCTTATTGGTATTTATTAAATACTACACTTTCGTGACGAATCAAACAATTACTGAACCATGTGCTTGTTTTTCATAACAAAATAGTTAACTTCCCAATCGTCTTGAAATAATCTATTTTCTTTGAAAATGTTTCGCTTGAAAGATATGAAAGATAGTTAAAAATTACTTCCACTCATAAAATGGTCGCTACTCCAATGTTTTGTCTATTATCCATTATCAGAGAAAAACAAAATATCATTTCGCACTCATATGGCTCAAAGAGCAAAATTTATATATATTATATTTTAACAAAGAATTTCTCACCAAATTTTTATAAATAAATGAATTTCTCAGAGCAATGGGTCATGACCGGGCCACTTAAAAAAGCCCGGTGAGCCGCATGTGGCCCGCGGGCCGTAGGTTGAGTATCGCTGCTCTCATTAATTCACAGTGAGACGTAAATTATAAAATCAATAATAACAGAGTTTCAATTGCGATTTTTGTCTTCCGAATGATTTATAATATTTGTATATATTTGACACATTTCCAAAATATTGGTGATATTTAGTCATCTAATACTAAGAACATGATGATTTTTTTTTCTAAATATATAATCATAAGAATATTTTTCTAATTGAGGTCCAATTTTAAAAGGTTTTCTGTCTTATTAATCCTGTTTCAAATAAAAGTTATTTACAATTTTTTATTAATTTAATTCCGATTTCTTTGAAATCTGTACTTGAGTTTTCGAGAAATATACTTTTACAATCAAAGAATAAGTCATGCATTTTAATTTTTTTAAAAAAATTCACTTGTATATATAAGTGAGAAAAATAAAGTCTTAGTGAAAATCTAATAATCATTCCAAAAATCATTTTCTACTTCATTATTTGCGTTTTTAAAAATGGAAGACCTTTTTCTTTTCTTAAGAAAACGTTTCTAACAAGATTATCTGACGTATTCATTCACACATTCACGAACATGTCAAAAGATATGCAAATTGAATATTCTAATTAAAATAATGAAAAGGGCTTTAGTTTTTTAGGAATGAATAATGGTTTATTCTTGAAATAAAATGAATTGATGGGACTACGTGATAATAATTTTAAGTGAATGGAATGTTGTAGAAGTAATATTTGATTTAATATAAATGGTTACTGAAATACTTTAAGTAAAAACTTACCAAAATATAAGCATAAATATCTCTATTATATATTAAAATTTAAAATTAACTTCTAAAACACTAGGTTTTTAGGTAGATTATTGTTTTACCTTGATGCATCGTAGTTATTTCAAATGCCATATACAGAAATAAAATGTTTTCCTTGAGTGAAATGAAATGAAATAATGAAGTATTAATCGCACACATAAAATATTGTCATATAAACATTAATAAATATTAATTTTCTTATAGTTCCTAAATGTTTGTTACTGAATTTAAAATCTTATTTTGTCTATACTTGAACGTATCTTCAAGAATTAAGAAATTTCACATAACTTGTTTGTTTTCATGTATGTGAAAAACATACCTATACATATACGTTTAAATTTTCCAACACAATATTTTCTATAATTCATAATTACATAGCATATGAATATCTACAAAACTATAAACACTTAAAAGCATAAACAGACTCAGAAGACTTATCTAGAGAAAATTACATTAATATGTTTTCATAAAATAATAACTGTTAAATATAAAGCTCCTACAAAATTCCATTATATATCTTCAGTTGAAAAGTATACACAATTATACATTTGCCTTTTGAATCCCTCTATGTTTTAATGTTTAAGAAAAGTTTCAAAATCCAAGGAACTTACCTATACCACTCCAGACCTCTCTGATAATGACGATCAAAGAAATGAGTCTCTGGTCCAGAAGCCCTTACATCAGGATGTACCCTCAGAAATTCCAGCAGCGCTCTTGTACCGCACTTCTTAACCCCAATAATCAAGGCTTGTGGCAATCTCTTTACTGGTGGACTAATCATAACGCTTCTTTTTTTGGCAGGTAGTGCTATTCCATGTATTGTAGTGGGAGTTGTGTAGGTTACAGGATACGAATCCTTTCCATGTATGCTGACCTCTGTAACCCCTTGAAGAACCTCATAACTGTTAGACTCTGCCCTTTCCTTTATGCCTCTGGGTAACCAGGCTCTGATAACATACTGGTCCAGCTGCAAAGTCGGTGGCAAGGATTGTGGAGATGAAGTTGGAGATGTCGTGGTCAGTTGAGGTTCGTCAACACCTGACGGAAAGTAGTATTCGTTCGTTTTTGTGGTAGGGTAATTTGGTACCACAGTAGTGGGCAAGATATTGTTTAGCGTAGTCGTCTGCTTTGGCCTATTTTCTTGCCATGACC